TTTAAATATCTAATCAAACAGACTTTAAGATTTATCATTTTAATGTTGTTACCCAACAACCAATATGGGAATATGCTCCTTCAAATTTCCATCAAAAATAGTAATTTTTAGAGACCTAAAACTCTATTTAACACCTAGAGACCAGTGAGAGAAATAATGCATGTTAATTAGATATTTAGAAGAGTGAGGTATCCAATAATCATTACCTTTGTATCCAATGATGAAATCAGTAAAAGTTAACTTATTCTAGCCACCTTTGATACTTTAGGCTTTTGAATGTACTTGAAAGTCTTCTCAGGCTGTCTTTTGATTGTGGCTTCTAAACAGTTCTCTAATCCTAGGCTGTCTAAAAAACTTTCTTCTTTGAAAGGATTTTTCTTCAGGGTTTCTTTGAAATTTTCTTTTTATCAGAAATCTGAATAGTCTTCTGATCTGTTTTCTCTAATTACAGCTCAAGAACACTCACTATCTTCTGGTGTTGAACACAGAACGGATGCAAAGTGAGTGAAACAAAAATGAACATTCCATAATAAAATCATAAAACAAGTGCAGAAAGTTAAGCAAATAGGTTAACGAACACCACAGTTGGTGTTGTTGTAGCTAGCCACTGAATGGAAGAATATTTGTCTGAATAAGAAACATGCTATTAAGGTTGAAACTATGAAACAGACCAGGTGATAGAAAGAATTTGAGGTTGTCTGCTATTGATTTTAGCGGGAAAATAAGTTTTCAGAATCCTTTGACTCTGATGAAGAGTTAGTTGAGAAGTCATTTCACTTCACAATGGTTTTAAAGTATAGATAGATAGGTAGTGAGATTTATTTTTTGGAGCATATAAATGAACATAAATGATTGCCTTTTCCCTAATTTCGGTCGAAACAATTAATTCAACATTAATATCCCATGTAATAATAGTTGGATGCAACCCCTTATGCCTTTTATTTTTTATTTTTTATTTTATTTTTTTTAACTTCAGCTAAGGCATAAAACTTGCACCAACCATGGTAGGTCTTTCAAGGAAATCGGTTCTGTAGAAGTGTGACAGGCAAACAGTTGAAAAGAATTATGATTAATATTATTAGTTTCTGTACTAATTTATTAGGAAAACAATAAAAACCTAGTCCCATTATGTAAGGATAGTTACATGCATCACAAAATATCATTCGATTCAGATATTATATTTACTGATTCCTCTTAACAACTAACATGTAAAAAATACACGAGATCTAATTGTCAAGAAAAACAAAAAAAGAAAAAAACACTTATAGTACTATCACTTAATAAGCGAGTTATTAAATCAAATTTAATTTTTTAATAGTATTACTTCCGTTTTTTTTTTATTATTTTTTTTATAATAGTAGTTTAAAGTTTTATACAAGCAAAAAATGAAATAAATTTTTCTATTTTAATAATTTTGATGTTTCTTATTATATCATTTTTATTTTTCTTTTATAATAAATTTATATTAATTATCATCAGTAAATTAATTAAAAACTGGATGACATGTAAGGGTATAATTGATAATATAATAATTAATATTATTTTAAAATTTGAAAATGACAAGTAAATAGAAACAAAATTTTACTAAAAATCTAACAGATAAAAAAGAATGGAGAGAGTATTATTTTGAGATAGGCTAAATTATACTTTTGGTCCTTCATTTTATTTTTTTCTTTGATTCAATTATGTCCTTTATATGTTAAACTGTTCATTTTGATTATTTATCTTTTATATTTGAATCAATTTGATCATTTTAAAATAATAATCATTTTTAATTGTACAACATGATTTTGAATCAATTTTTGACTAATTCAAGATGTGAGACTTTTAACATTAAACTCACCTAAATGAAAACTATGAAATTCAATTGATATTCAAATCCAAAAGAATCATACTCATAGTAAAAATCATGTGAAAAATATATCTCATAAGCAACTATAAAATAATATGAAATTATATTTTTTGAAAATTTTTTTTATTAATTATGTCTATAACACTTTTGGTTTGAGCTTCAATTGCATTCAATAACTTTCATATAGATAAGTCTTATGAGAGAAGTTTTAAGTCTTGAATTAGCCAAAAAGAACTTACAAGAATTAAACTGACCTAAATTTAGTAGATAAAGAAACAAAATGAATATTTTAAAAAATAAAGGACCAAGTTAAATTTTTAAAAATAAGATAAAAAACTAAAAGTATAATTTAATCTTTAAAATATCATACACCTATTGACATATCGCTCTAGCATTTGTTGTCGATAAAACTCGCTTCTAAGTTCTAACTCGTGATCGGCTTGGTAAAATTATGTTATTTATTAAAAACTCGTTAGACACGCATGTCAAGTTTTATTAATTATAAGTTTATAAAATTTATAAGTTACATGTAGAGAATTTTTAATAAGTTGGAATATATAAACTAATTTTATAAAGGTTTTCATTAGTTTTATATATTTATTTTATTTTCTTCACATATAATATTTAGTTAAGAAATTTGCTTTTCAACGATGTATACAAATTAATGTATTTTTAAACACAACCTAAAACAATTTTGGTTGGTTTATCCAAATTATTTTTAGTGCTATATAAATGGATTACTTTTGAGTTCAGTTAAATTATCATATATTATTTCAATCTGGTAAATGTATTAGAGATAACTTAATCACTTGTCTAAAATTAAAGCATTTAGAAATATATTCTACTTATTTTTGTCTTAAGATATACAAACTTTATATCCAACCTATTATGTGTTCTTGGATTCCAAGGATCACAAGATTTTGTGAGAATTTTATCATATTATTGAGTAACATATTTTGATACTTAATTATGATCATTAATGATTAGATTGGTGTTTGATATAAGTTTTTGAAAAAATATGAATTATTCTAAGCACAAAAATTAAATCAATTATAAAAAATAATTTTCTACCAAAACTCTTCGGATAACCCGTATTAATTAATTACAGGTCAGAATAGTCCAATTACCTACCAATTTATAGTATAAAATGCATAGAGATTAAATCAAATAATATCATAGATAACACAAATTAGTTACAAGTTAATGTCATCCATTTGACTACTAATCTATAACATAAAATACGCAGAGATCAAGTCAAATAATATTTTAGATAACACATGTGGATAGCACAAACACTCCACATATAATTCAACTTTATAACACGTGTGTACTATATAGAAGTGGATCCTGTGCAATGGTTTACAATTGCAACTTTATTTCCATATTGGCTCATCAATTGTGTCTTGAGTGGAAAGACAGTTGTTCCACCAAATTTTGGATGCTATTTCATGCAACAAATATGTTGCAACTTCGGAAGACAGAGACCGCGTAATTAACAAATTAAATAAAATAGTTGTTCATTCTAAGCCATTTACATTTACATCACTATAGTTCAGACCCTCTCATGCATCACATTGCTATTATTTAATTAAGGTGGTTTAAGGGCAGGTGCACACCATAATAACAAGGAAGCTTGAACTTGAACCTTGAGTCGGGTTGATCCATAGTTTTAAAAACCGGACCGGTCATCGAACCGGTTAAGGTACTGGGTCAGTGGGTCAAAGGTTGAACCGGTGGGTCACTAGTTGAACCGCATGACTCGGTTTTTATTTATTTTTATTAAAAAAATATTCATATTAAATATATTTTATACTTATAAATTTTAATAAATTTATATCTTATTTTAAATTTCAATTTTTCTATCTTATTTAAAATTATTTTTATTTTTATTTTGTAAAAAATATATAAAAAATTACATATTAAACTGTATATTAATACAAATTAAAAATATAAATAATATGTACATATATAATATGCTTGCAATTGATATCACAAAATAATATATGTAATATTTACATATATATTATATTATTAAATATATAATATAAAATTAATAATATACTATAAAAGTTATTTAAGTTGTATATTATATAAACAAATACATTAGAACAAGTAGTTATTGTTATATTTAATAAGAATCTTTGTTCTTCTATTAAAAGATTCAATTTTCATTATTATTTTTGTGGTTTATGGTCCCTTAAAAAATAAAAAAAAATAAAAAAATAAAAAAATAAAAAAAGTGGTTGAACCGGTTTGACCCACCGGTTCACCGGTTGAACCGGAAAATTGACCGGTTCAATCCGGTTTGAAACGGGTCGACTGCATAACCGATCCAACTTAAGGTTCGGACCGGCTGGACCACCGGTTCCCGGTCCAACCGGTCCGACCGGCCGGTTCGGTCCGGATTTTTAAACACTGGGCTGATCATTTCGACCTTCAGATTGATTATGCTAGCTAGGCAACGAGCGTAGTAGGTCACCAAATTGATTTCCCTTTAATAACTTCCTTTTTCTTGGCCCCACCCTGGCGCGTCTAACCCACTTTAACTTTATCATGCTCGACCACAATAAACATAGCCGCGGATTTTGATCCCTGTTCACTTCATTTTGTTTTATACACGCCAAACTTTATTAATATTTAAACTTTACATAAAGTACTCAAATCTTTTTTATCGCTAGTTAATTGCAAGAACCTTTGTGTATATCACCTTTTCTAATTATATAATCTGCACTATCCATGTTCCATTCCCGTGAGTTACATGCATGTCTTTGGGAAAAGAGTGTAATCTCTTTCCACCTTCAACTCAATCTAATTTATAAGATAGGATTAGATTAGACTAGACAATATCTATTAGACTAATAAAGATAGATTATATTGTCTAAACTTAGATATTAAAACTTAAATTGAACATATTCTAAAGATAGATCACATTAGTTAATTAACCACCACCAACAGTCTTTTTTTCCACGGGAAAATGACAAATTCCCACATATTCTTGGCTACTGTCACTCTGTGTCAACCACCATCCAAAAAAGGAAACAAAATGAACAAATAAACAATAAACTAGGAAGCAGAAAGCAGAATCGATAAAATGAAAATAAATAACCATTTACCCGCCACATTTATGCATTGACTCTACTCATAACTCTCCACCACCTCCTCCTCATCTTTCCCTTATAAAATCCCAACACCCTCTTCAAACCTCGAAATAAACAAGCCAACAGCCACAGCTACATCACATTATACATGAACCACCCTCATTGTGTCACAACCCTTAACCTTGATCAACCATGGACTGGTTCTCCTGGTTATCCAGGACCAGCCTAGAGCCTTCACTCATCTACGAGTATGGCCTTGCCTTCGCACGCAACGAGCTTCAGTTGGAGGACGCGACCTACTTCAACCACGAGTTTCTTCAAAGCATGGGAATTTCCATCGCCAAGCACAGGCTAGAGATCCTCAAGCTGGCGAAGAAGGAGGACTTGGCAGCGAAAACCAGCGCTAACAAGCTTTCTGGGGTCATCAAGAAGTGCCTGAGGAAGTGCTTCAGCAAGCTGGTTTCAAAGGAGGATCATCAAGAAGTGAAGGAGATGCCTCCGGAGCCAAACTGGTACCAAGGGAAGTGGAGAAGGGCGAGGCACAATGGGACCATTGCACTTTCAGGGCCTTTGGATGGGAATGGGAGGATAGTGCATGAGAAGATGGTGAGCAACAGCAAGGTCATGAAGCTTTCTGGCCCTCTTGATGGGAAGGTCAATGGTGGTGAGAGAGTCATGTATGCAAATGCAAATAGAAGTCCTATTATGGGTGGTGCTGGTGCTGGTGCTGGTGGTGGTGCTCCTAGGCCTCTTGATGGGAGGTTCATGGGCTCAGCTAAGAGTCCTAGGCTTTCTGGGCCACTTGATGCAAGGCCTGTGGCTGTGAGTAATAATAGAAGTCCAAGGCTACCTAGGGCTTTAGATGAGAGGGCTGAGAGCCCTATGGGCTATAGTCCCTATAATAAGGTCAGAACTGATCATGCTGATTATGATGATGATTATGCCATGTGGCCTTCGTTGTTTGAGGATCTTAAACCAACTTAGACTATTATTTTGCGTTTGTTTTCTTTCGCATATTTGTTACACCTTCGTGGCGAGTGATAGCAACGTTTTTTTTTCATATAATAATGACAGGTGGTAGAATATGAAATGTGATGTTTACTACGATTTGAATGTTCTTTGTGTTTCAACAATCTTTCACGTGAATTCAGGGATTGGTAGTACAGGCAAGTTGTATATCCCAACAATCAGATCACGTCAGTTATCTATAATTACATTAATATATCAAGATGTTAGTCCTTGTTACAGTGACATATTTCTTATTTGAAAAATTACACTTAGTCTCTCCATTGTTATTATTATCTTTGAGGAAACTTTGTATAATCCGCGAGTGAAAGTGAAACGGTATATATTTTGATTTTGTACTATCCATATCGCAAAGTCGAGCTTGAGCTCGGCATCACAGCGCAGATTGACATCAAACATGCGCCACGCGACATTGGCCAAGACAAAGGCCCACTACCTAAACAGACCATAACTAATCTCAAGTCCAAGGCCTAGAAAAATCCTAATTCACATCAAGGTACGTGCATTACTTATACGAGACCTATACTCCCACAAACACTAACTTTAGTATCGGAGTCTCTTTTGTAGGTACCACCCCCACTTTGGAGCAGCAAGCGCACCTAGCGAAGGAGGCTCACCGATCTTACTCAGCAGATCGTTCCCTACGACAGATCCCCGGTAAGAACATTTGCCGCCCACCGTGGGGCCGATCACGATATCTCTTATCGGCCACGCTTATGGTTTTCACCCGAAGTCGTAGTAGACGAGCAACAGACACTTAGATCGCGCAACAAGAATGGAAGGTGAAGCAGCATTAAGGAGACTGATCGAGCAAGTCGATCAAATGCGACAACAACACACTGTCGACCTGGAAAACATCCGCACCAGGCACGAAACCGACCTAGCGGTGCTGCGCGCTAAGAATGAGCGCATTCGCACCCAGCTTCCTCGGTGCCCTTCCGACCAACCCCCTCAACCGAGTAATCAAAACGAGGAAGAGGGGCACTCGGTTTCCCAGCCACCGAATGCACCAAGGGCGGCGACCCACAGGTCTACTGTTCATCGGTAACACCTACCGACAAATAGGTCAGACCACGAAGTCAGCAATGCTCCTGCCCAGGCTCCAGGACATAGGGCGAGCATTCGCCACCATCCTTTTGTCAACGGCATCATGGAGACGCCCCTCCCTTTTGGATGGAAGCCTCTCAACATCGACCGTTACGATGGCACTAATGACCCAGATGAGCACGTCGATCTTTACGTCAGGTAAACCTATACACTAACGAGGATGCTATTTTGTGTAGGGTTTTCCCAACCTCGCTCAAGGTATCGGCACTCGCCTAGTATACTCAATTGCCGGGTTCAATTGATAACTTCGACACTCTGGGGAGACGATTCACGGCGCAGTATGCAACGAGTCGACCTCATCACATCACGTCCGCCACCTTGGCCAGTCTTAGACAGGGCGACGACGAGCCACTAAGGGCGTTCATGGAACGCTTTGCTAGCACCTCGGTCAAGATCCGCAATCTAAACCCCGAGGTCACCCTTCACGCCATGCTCATGGTGCTCAAGCCAGGACCTTTCGTTGACAGCCTGTGTCGACGACCTCCCCCAGATATGGACGAACTCCCTGCCCGAGCTGCAGGGTACATTCAGATAGAAGAGCACACCGCTTTCAGCCACCAAGTCCGTGGAAAATCTCAGGTGAAGCCGGATCACGACCACAAAGATAAGGTGAAAGTCACCAATGATAGCCAATTCAAGAAGGCTGCTAGGGCAAACAAAGGAGGAAGGTACGACTTCTACACCCTCTTGAATGCGCCCCGAGTACACATCCTGGAAGAGGCCAGCAACACCAATCTGCTCACTCTGCCACCACCTGGTCATAGTCCCAACAACGCGAACAAATTCAAGCATTGTCGGTACCACATAAACTACGGCCACACAACCGAGGAGTGCCATACACTCGGGACCGCATCGAGGAACTCGTCCAAGGAGGGCACCTCAGACAATACGTCCAACGGCTGCAATCTCATAGAGGAGGCTACCACGGACGAGGACGAGGACGCGGCTGAGGTTTCGGGACCCGAACAAACCAACCCTCTAGATTCCAGCAAAACACAGGTAAAGCAGTGCAGGCCGAGGTAAGTCAGGATACAGGGTCGGCTCCCTTGCGAGGAGTTATCAATAATTACAGGTGGCTTCGCAGGGGGAGGCTCCAGTAGCTCGGCACGCAAAAGGTACTTGCGGAGCATCAACAATGTCCACACCAACACCTCGGCCCCGCACTGCAACACTCCACCCATCACCTTCACAGATGGCGACTACACTAGCGTCTGTCCAAACCAGGACGACCCTATGGTCATCACCGTGGAAGTAGCAAACTAGGAGGTTCACAAGACGCTGATAGACCAGGGAAGCTCAGCTGACGTCCTATACTGGCCGAAATTCCTAAGGTTAGATATCCCTCACTCCCTTATCCAACCTCACACAGAACCCCTAGTCAGTTTTGCAGGAGAGCGAGTTCACACTCGAGGGTACGTGGATCTGCTGACAACCTTTGGGACTTCTCCGGACTCAAGAAGAATCATGGTCAAATACCTCCTTGTTGAAGCCAACACATCCTACAATATCATCATCGGAAGGTCGACGTTGAATCAACTCGGAGCTGTGGTATCTACCCCGCACCTAACGATGAAATTCCCAGGGAGCAATGGCAAGATCATCTCAGTCAGGGCAAACCAGAAGACAGCTCGACAATGCTATGCCGAAAGCTTGAAGGTCTCGCTGTAGACCCCTAAAATTGTCCGGGTCGGAAATAACCAAAGGTTGCGCAAATAATCGATTATCTATACAAATAATCGATTATTTAAATTAGTAAAATCCTTTAAAAACCCTTTCTGCACTAAATAATCGATTATTTTATGAATAATCGATTATTCCAAAGGGTCATTTTCCTCAACTTTGCCCAGATAATTGATTATTTCCAAAATAATCGATTATTCCAAAGATTCTTGGCATTCTGCTTTCCAGATAATCGATTATTGCCCAAATAATCGATTATTACAGAGGCTCTTGGAATTCTTCTTCTCCCAGATAATCGATTATTGCCCAAATAATCGATTATTCTTATAGGCTTACTTACAATAATCGATTATATTTTAAAATAATCGATTATTCCAGAGAAGTTTTGCTTCTCCTGAATCTAACTTTTCAAACCATTCCAAATCTAATTCAACTCTTAAACACTCTTTTATGCATTATACATCAATGTTTTACACATTTATCAGCCAATCAATCACATAATCAATCTCAAATCACAATCAATTCAAACAAGATTCATTGATTATTCCTAGTTCAACTCTTAATTGATTAAATCTTTCCCTTGGTAGAGGTTTTGTAAATATGTCAGCTAATTGCTTACTAATTTCAACAAACTCTACAACACAATCATTTCTTTGAACATGATCTCTCAAAAGTGGTGTCTTATCTCTATGTGTTTTGTCCTAGAGTGCAAAATTGGATTTTTGGTCAGATTTATTGCACTTGTATTGTCACACCTTAAAGGTATTTTATTCAGCTCAGTTCCATAATCTCTTAGTTGTTGTTTCATCCAAAGAATTTGAGCACAACAACTCCCAGTAGCTATATATTCAGCCTCAACTATACTTAAAGCAACACAAGCTTGCTTTTTGCTATGCTATGAGACAAGTGCACTTCCTAGTAGGTGACAAGTACCACTTGTGCTTTTTCTATCAAGTCTACACCCAGCATAGTTTGAATCTGAGTAGCCTATCAGACTCAGTGAGACTCCCTTTGGATACCACAAACCTACATTAGTTGTTCCTTTTAGATATTTAAGAATTCTCTTTACAGATTTCATGTGAGATTCTTTTGGATTTGCCTGAAATCTTGCATACAAGCACACAACAAACATTATATCAGGCCTACTAGCTATCAAATATAAAAGTGATCCAATGATACCTCTATACTTTGATTCATCAACAACTATGCCTTTCTCATCCAAATCAAGATTGCATGTGTTTGATATTGGTGTTGCAACCTCCTTACACCCTTCCATACCAAATTTCTTTAATAGTTCATTGCAATACTTGCTTTGACTTATGAAGATTCCATCACTCATTTGTTTGATTTGTAACCCCAAGAAGAATGTAAGCTCCCCCATCATTGACATTTCAAATTCTCCTTGCATGGTCTTAGCAAATTCTTTGCATAGATAGACATTAGTAGATCCAAACACAGTGTCATCCACATAGATTTGAACATACATTGTATCATTTTTAAACTTTTTCACAAATAATGTATTATCTACTTTCTCTCTTACATAGTCATTTTCAATAAAAAAATTTGCTCAGTCTGTCATACCATGATCTTGGAGCTTGTTTCAAGCCATAGAGTGCCTTTTTAAGTTTGTACACATGATTAGGATACTTAAAATCAACAAAACCAGGTGGTTGCTCCACATACACTTCTTCTTGTATCAACCCATTAAAAAAAGCACTTTTTACATCCATTTGATAAAGCTTGAAATTTATTATAGAAGAATAAACAAGAAGTAATCTAATGGCTTCTATCCTTGCTATAGGGGCAAAAGTCTCATCATAATCAATTCCTTCTTCTTGATTATACCCCTTAACCACTAGTCTTTCCTTATTTCTTATAATAATTCCTTATTCATCAAGCTTATTTCTAAAAACCCACTTGGTTCCTATAGTTGGATAATCATTTGGTAATGGCACTAAATCCCATACTTCATTTCTTTCAAATTGATTTAGTTCCTCTTGCATGACCATTAACCAATGTTCATCTTTTAGTGCTTCATCTATACTTTTAGGTTCAACTTGTGACACAAAAGTCATAGTATTGCAAATATTCCTGATGGCTCTTCTAGTTGACATTCCCTTACCAATATTTCCAATTATATTATCCATTGATAAGTCCCTAGAAGTTTTCCATTCCTTAGGAAATTGTTCACTTGTATCCTTGGTGGTTTCATTTGGTTCACTCTCTTTAGGCTTTTCATTAGGTTCACTCTCCAATAGAGGTTGATCAAGCAAATCAGTCAAGTCTTCTATTTTAGTTTGCTTTGTCTCTTGTTTGTTAGTCTCATCAAACACAACATGAACTGATTCTTCAACAATTAGAGTTCTCTTGTTATAGATTCTATAGGCTTTGCTATTTGTAGAATATCCTAAAAAGATTGCCTCATCAGCCTTTGCATC